ATAACCAGGGCGGTTTTAATATTCTTGTTATTAAATGAAATTAATACTTTCAATTATTTATGTAAATTATCAGGGTCGCTAATAAGCGCTAGGTAGTCAATCAAACTGAAAAAAGTGCTAGCTGGATGGCTGATGAACCGGACTACGAATTCCAGCTGATCCAAACATTCCAAATATATATGAAACGATTAAACTTTATACTGTGCATATGCCGAAGCATTTCAAAGCGTACTGAAATGAATTACATTGTACAGCCTGCCTTCCACAACAGTAAATGATCGCTGCAGTTTGCCAGCTACTGATTTGATTTCCTTTTGAAGCAAAAGATTTTCTTCTGCAATCTGAAACAATTTGTCTCGTATTTGCTGACAAAGATGACAGCTTTTCACGCCATTTATATTTGTTACCCTTTGAACAGCTAACGTGAAGAAAAGTGGAAACGCAAAATTAGGACAGAACTTAGTTTCACACAAAACGAAATGTTTGAATTTTCGGAATTTCAGTCAGCCTTATGGCAGAAGAGATAATAGCGATCTAACAACAACGGAATTTCAATGTGAATGTAAACCTTGTTAATTTCGTCCTGCTGTTTTGTAATATTGCCAACAATATCGAACAAATGCTTCGTATAAATGCTTCTATTCATTTGCTTCTCTTCCCGTAACATCACCTGATTTTTCTAAACAATATCCGAAAATGAACAGGGCTGAGTATTCACAAGAAAAAATTAAGATTTTTGAAACTCATTTAATACTTTAAAACGTCCTTTTAAACTGTACCAATTTTTTCAAAACGCCCTTTTTACCGGCCAATTCATGCTCGACAGCTTCCGTGTCCCTCAGTATGGCTTCCCTCGAGCGGTACGGAAGGCTGTATTCCTAAAACGAATTTTTAATTAAAAATTCATTTATCCCTTTCTTTTTCGACAAAGTTGCCTTTCATTTTGGAGGAACTGTATACATCAGTATTCACCAAACAAGAAGCCCAATTAACTAGTACGACTGAACAGGCTATCGGCATGAAAGCCTTGACAGTAAAAAGATGCACGCTGAGCGTAGCTGTATCAGGTCTACTAATTCCACGTTAACGCCCCCCCCCCCTTCCCCAATGCAAGCCTAGATTCACCACATTTTCGAAACCACCATAAGTTGTCAATTTCTATTTCAAAACATAACATTCCAACAGACGCCTGCGAAAGCACTAACTGCTTTGATAAGCTGATTTTACATTTCAAATTAGCCGGAGCCCATGCCCACCTTTTGTACCTTCGAAGCTGATTTTACAATATCTGACGAACCGAAGATGAAGCCGCTTGCCTTGCCAGATTCACTTCCTCATCCTTTCTCGTTTTGGCCTGCAACCAAACGTTCTGCAGACGCTCCATTCTTTCACTGCTTTCATCAATATAGTTCTGAAAGCCAGCGGAAATTTTGCACAGTCACTGGTTCGAACATCAATTTATTTCCAAAACACTTCAACTACTCTATTTTCTTCAAACATCGCCAAGAAATTCCCTATTTAGACACACACCAGTTTCTGATGCAGTCGCAAGCGATGTGTATTTTCAGGTTCGAGATGCCTAATTCAAGCCCACGTAAAAAACTAATCCCACTGTGAGTTTTCGACTTCGAATGTTTTGAAGATAAATTAATGGCGACAAGTCTGGCATATTAGGCAGCACAACTGCCTCGCCTGCTTTTCAGGCAGTCCCTAAAAGAGGAAACCATTAACAATGTTAACAAAGCGATGCTATCTCAATCGCTTCTGAGCTCCACTGTTGCCCAGAAACAGTCAAATTTGGAAGAGAATAAGGTTACTGGAA